AAAATTTAATTTGTTTTTTTTAAAAAAAAAAAAAAAAAAAAAAAAAAAAAAAAAAAAAAAAAAAAAAAAAAAAAAAAAAAAAAAAAAAAAAAAAAACAGGGTGTTGGAATTTGACCACACGTTGGAAGGAGGACTCAGACTTTAGCTAGAGTGGCTTGGTTTCATTTTTCTTTCCATACCAAGTGGAAGCTCATTGTGTAGACAATGATTATAGTGCAATAAATAAATAAATAAATAAATAAATAAATAAATAAATAAATAAATAAATAAAATACACACCCAAAGTCTTCAAACGAATAAAACTGAATTCACACTACGATTTTCTAAGTCTACATTTGACCCCTGGCTGTTGAGCTCTAGCAGTCTGTGCTTCCTGAGGCCCAAACTGCACCATCCTCATGAGCGAGCTTCTACTGCAGGCTTTACACTAGGAGCTTTTCCTGCAAAAAAAAAAAAAAAAAACAAACAAACAAACAAACAAAAAAAAAATCATTACTTTTGGTATAATGAATAAGGAAGATAATTGAATAGAAAAATATATGTACGTGATTTTACAGGTTCTATATTAGGGGGCGCCATCGACTATGTATTTTTGTATATAAACTGGAGCTGATTGTCTTCTAAAATGCTTTGAGGGGACATTTTTGTATGCACATAATCTGAATTGAAACACACACACACACACACACACACACACACACACACACACACACACACACACACACAAAAACAATAAATAATAATAAAAAAAGAACAGCTCACAACTGCAACTCAGTTCCCATTGTGTTAGAGAGTAGGTCACGAGATTTGGTTCATTCATGAGTGTCCCAATTGTACTACTTTGTATATGAGGATGTTTTGATTGAGAAAGTCACTGCAAATGTTGACTCTTTTTAGCTGAACCAAGATTTTTAGCTGCTCAAGTGTTCAGTTTGTTTTGCAATATTTTTCATCTTATGTGGTACCAAATGTTTTTCTTCTGTTTATTTTGTTTGTTTTCTGAGTGAAATGCCTGAAAAGTAAACTTGCAGGTTTGGCACATTCTACAGAGGGACGCTGATGTACATGCCAAATGTGGCTTCAGATTTTATTGCTTGAATAAGGAAGGTATCCTTGAGATAGATGTCATCTGGATGGCAAAATATGTTGCTCCAAAGCCCACATAAATCATTCAGTATTAATGTTGCCTTCACAGATGAGACATGCCATGTGCACTAATGAGAACCCATTAAAGATTCTGGCTTTTGAACCTTGTGCCTATAACAACTCTGACGGCTTATTCACCTTTCCTCTCCACACTTTCACTTATTAATTTGTTAAACTTTTCTGGATCTTTTCTTTCAGCTGGACTGCTTTAAAGAACAATAAAAATATTTAAAGTCTACGGACATAACAATTTTAATTGATTTTGGAAAAGGGTTCCCTGTTGTGTGAAGGTAAGTTTTAGCCTGCAGCATGCAGGATCAGAGTCATCTCTGTTTGGAAAACAAGGAAGAAACTTTGTTTCAGGAATCAGTGAGAGGGTTTTTTCCAAGGTGGGCATATTTAGGATTCAATTTGTTCCACCCTGATCAGTTTAAGCCACAAACACTACTGCTTAAGTAACACTACGAGATTTTGTGAAGTTACATCTTTGCATCAGATACAGTGTTTGGTTAGACCAGGTAACTGTATGATAACAAATAAATAAAAAAAATAAAATAAAATAAAAAAAAACTTTTCCCAGCAGACTACAACCCATCTTCTGAAAGTCTTCTGAGAAAATACCAACATGTTGCAAAACTGATGCAAGGGAAAACTACATAGCAACACATTCTCTTTGACTACCGTGAAACTTTAGGGGTTCAAGTTGTTTTCCGTGGTAGGAATTTGCTGTTCAGTGTGTCCCCTTCTGGAAAACAGTTGACTTGACTCCATGAAAGTTTGTTTCTGTGCTCGTCAGTTTCTGCCTGTCTTGGGGAACTTTGGTGCCTTCTTGTGAAAGTGCAGGTTTTAAGTTCAAATTGAAATGCTAATCCAACTGAGGAAACAGGAGATACAGAATGTGAGACTAATAAGTGACATCGATCACCAGACTGTTGTTATGATCGGATCCGTGGTTCATATTCTGACATATTTTATGAGTCAACTGACCCACACAGAGATCAGAACCCAAAATAAATGGGAACTGTGTGTTATTCAATATTTTCAGACAACAGTGTAATCTTGAATTGTGTTACATATAATATTTAAACAGTGTTTTGACTACGTATTGTCATAATTCTTTTGAAAATAACGCACTGCTGCAGTGCCTAAGCCCTTCTTTTTTAGTGCAAAAGAATCGACTTGTTTGAAAACCACCCAAAGCAAATATGACAATGGCTTCACAAAATTACATTTCCCTAAGCCACTATGACGTTGTTATGATAGGAGCTGGTTAAAGATGACAGATGTTAATTTGGATTCAACCTCTGTTGAAACAGCTGATACCCTCATCCACCAGTAATGACTAATCTACTCGTCGACTATGCATACATTTTAACACAATCTCAAAAGTCCAAATGACCTAATCAGGAATATTCTTAAAGTCTCGTCTCGTTCACTCGAATCTACTTCTGTGTATTGTGTTGTCTCACGATCTGAACGTGTCGGCACACCTCCACCATCCTGGCATCTCATAAATGGCAAAAAAAAAAAACAGACACAAAGAAAAACCTTGAATGAACGGGATAAACGTTCATTCTTTATTACACAAAGTCGTGTACAAGCAAAGGTGGTTATGAGTATCAAGTATTAGGGAACAATGTTTTACTTCACCCGCTTGTGCTACCCTAAAGGCTTAAACTTTAAATTATAGCTGAACTGAAGAAGACATCGTTCTCATATTCATAGATATCTCAGAATTAATATTACAAGACAACATCACCCTTGTGAGAAGGACTTGCGTGAATATCCAGCCATAGAAAAAAAAAACAAACAAAAAAATGTGTATTAAACTAAAAGCATAATGAGATTGCGTTCATCTTACCCGGTGTTTAACTTGTTGAAGTGGTGAATAAAAGTCCAGAGGCTCGCCTACTTTTAGCCCTCAAACAACTTGTTTTCTGGGCTCTCCTGAATCAGAAATGAGTCGCTGTTCCTCGCATGACAAGAATACAAGTTCTTCTTAATTAGCTCTTGAGCGAGACACATTTCAACTCAAGATAGCTGCAAGGCTGCAAAACCTCTTAAAAATGTAACAACCACAGAGTCAAAAGTGATGAATAATAATAGAAATCAAAGAAAGCACTGACAACATTAGTTTTTTTTTTTTTTTTTCCCTGAAGTGATTTTATTACAAAGTTCATGAGGACTTACAGTATTACAAGAGAATTTGCCAACATGCGGAAAGAGAACAAAGCAGAACACAGGAGTTTAACAAACTGGTAAGAGAAGACAATCCACTGTTCACGATAAACAGAAAAAACTGATTAAGTCCTCAGGAGGTGAGAGCCGGTGAATGACTACAGTGCAGGCATAGAACGGCCACATTCACACTGACTCAGCAAAGGTCAATCCAACCAAGGCAAGATGTGCACATCTCAATAAAACATGTTACAATTTTTATATGCCATCGGCTTTTCTCAACTTTTAGAAAGCTTCACTTGTATGTACATAAAACTGTACAAAAACATGGCATCACAAGCATTTTATCCTATATAAATATACCAACATTTAGGATAACAACTAGATTCTCTCTTGCAAAGACATATTTTCAAGGCAATTGTCTTTGTACTAGATGAACTGTGGAAAAAAGATGAAATGTTCAGTCGATTTCAGTTCCGTCTGGGGGAGAGAGTGGGACGTCGAATAGAACTAAAACGAGTAAACAGTTTCTACCAATCATCTTTGGGATTCATGCTAAAAATCGTCGCCCGCAGAACAGCAGACTTGGGGTTGTGAGGATCTATGTACACTAACGCCACCGACAGATTTCATTTTTTCACACAGCCAGTTTGCAGAGAGTCTTTGATCAGTAGGAAAAAAATACAAATAAAAAAATAAAAAACGAAAGGGAAAACAAACCGCCTTTGCCAATTTCGTTACTGTAATTTGTCCATCTGTGCACAGAAATGATCACCATACAATACACATTACAGAGAGGTAAAATATACTCAAGTGATTCCAACATTAAATCAATGTTAAAGTACAAATTAAACATTATCCAACACACGTCTGAGTGTATTTAGGTGCATCAAACTTTTATCAAGAGGAGCATCTTCGTTTCAGAGAGAAGTAAACACAGTTCGCTTAGCTTGAGTTCAGAAGAAAGGGCAATCCTGGTGATATGTATTTTTTGTTTGTTTGTTTTTCCCCATTTGTGAGCAACAGGAGGTCAGGCTGGCTCATCAAGCCAGAAAAGAGGTGGACAAGGTGGGCTTGGGATTTTATGATTGTTATGTTTGATTTATTTATATTTTTTAAATCTCCTGTTAAGCCATTTCTGTTCAAACAAGATATTTACAAATACTGTAAAAAAAAAAAAAAAATTCATATAGCCTCAGGACTCATTGTTTGCCATTAAATCAGGCTAAACCTTTCCTGTTATAGATCAGCTAGGACTACCAAAAATATTTCTTAATTGCCAGAAAATAATAACGAGAGATAGTTTTTTTTTTTTTTTTAGAGAATTGTTGCAAGTCAGAAGTTTGCAAATACACTTCGCCTTTCAGACTGTATGACTTTGGTGAAACATTATGGGTCTGCTTCCTCAAGCTTCACACAAGAGACTACTACAATTTGTCTCCATCCTCCTCACTGAATTTGTGTAGCTGCATCAGGTTTACAGGCCTCGTCGCTCAAACACACACCTTTTCAGCTCTGCCCATAATTTCTCTATAGGACTGAGATAAGGGCTTTGTGATGGTCACTGACTTTGTCAGCCTTAAGCCACTCCTGGCCCTTGTCTGCTACTGCCTACTCAGTGAGGGTTGACTAGGCTCTATACGGCTACAAGGGTTTTCCTCTATTAAGGGTTATGTTGTACCAGCACCTTTGTTTTAAAACCTAATTTGCTGGAGTTCCAAGCGTGCGGAGTTGGGCTGAAAACATGATGTCAGAAGACTGTTGGTCGCTGATTGGCTAGTGGGTGGAATCACCGAGTCACAAGAGCGACTCCATTACAATAATCTGTAAAAACTCACAACAGCATCCGAGTGTATTTGGAGTTTCTGGACCGTTGGACTGCCCAACTCTACGACAGCCTCTCTTATTAGAGTTGTTACCAAAACTTCTTGGTTGATGTTGCTTCTATATTGCCCCGTGACTGTCTGTCTTCATTATGCAGACAAGTACTGTACTGTTCACAGTTAAGCTGGTGTTCTATGGCTTGTAAGTTCTCCCTTTCTTTACTGAATATAGGGCCAAACCAAAAGTTATGGCCAAACGTTTTTCATTTTTATCAGACCACAGAACATGTCTACCAAGATTCAAGTCCGTGCTTGTAATTTCCAGTTAGCCTAATTTAAAGTTATTTTGTTTTTGTTTTGAGGTTGAAATACATTTTTTTTTTTAAATCAAAACAAGTTCTTCTCTGGAACCCAGAAATTGTAACCTTCCTTAAAAGTAAGATGATTGGACATTACTTAGATGCTTGTACTTGTGAATAATTGGTTGAACAATGTGGCACCTTCAACCATCTAAAATCAAGATAAACCAGACTTGTGGAGATTCCCAATCCTAGTCCTAGATATCTTGGTTATTTATTTTTATTTCCCAGGTATTCCCATCAGAAAGCAGTGTGTTTTAGGTGTGGCTCTAAAACACATCCACAGGCGTGTCTACATGTAAACATGTAATCTATATGTAAACTTCAATATTTGAAGAAAGTAATAGAAAAAAAAAGTGCCTGTCTCATTGATCTTAGATTTTGCTTTTCCCAACTGACCTAAAACAGGAAAGGATAATTTAATCTCAGACAGAAAAAATAAATAAATAAATAAATAGTTGTCTTTTTATAAATCATATCTGAGGTTTATCAAAGAGACCACCAGGAATTATTTTCCAGATTTACTTTAGTGATTGTTAGGCTAGAAAAGAGATAAGATTTGATCCTGTCGGCGAACCAGAATCGAGTGAAAGTATTCGAATAGACAAAGTTGCGACTGAGGCTTTGTGACATTCATTTTATCACTCGTTGCTATCTTTCTCACTTGTCATTAATTCCAGGTCAGCGGTCTTACCCGCTGCTTTCCGTTGGTGAATCCACAGCTCCAAGATGGCTGGGGGAAGGGAGGTTAATCACAGTGTATCATGGCTTGTTGTCAGAATTTTTATTTCGGTTGCTAAATGGCTTTGAAAGTGGCGTAATGTGCTTTCTCCCCCTCAAGGCAGGATATTTGTTGAGCTTATTTAATCACGGCCATGTCCAGTAATCTTCCATATGTTTTCTGCTTTTAAACAGCCTGACTTGCGGCTTGCAGCGGGCAGCGCGATGAGGTAAAGTGCTGTTAAAAATACCCCCGCTTTAAATGATTGTAGCTCCGTGGGTGGATTTGCATTGTCTGGTGGGTGCCTTGTCCTGGGGGTGCACTCACACATGCCCCAGCTCAAGACTCATTACTCACCCTAATTAGGAAATGTCCATTCTCAGCTCCTCCACCCTCACTCAGAGGCACAATCTCACTATGGAAATACTCTGCAGAGGTGAAAGGTATCTACAAATCTAATCAAATCGATGTTTAAATCAAAGACGCCGACGAGCGCTACGATGCTGTAGTGCAGGTTAGTGGAGTCATCATTAGCATCCAATTATCGCCTAATACATAGTGCCCTTCATACATATCCTTCAAATTTACTTGGAAAATCTGTATAAAGGTAAAAAAAAAAAAAAATCCCCCAGGAATACCCTATTTTTATTTTCTGTTCATGAGTCGGAGAATGAAAATGCCTAATAAATGAATAAAAAATATTGTCCTCAATATAGAGACACTTATATATCTAAATAAGAGCAATGCCGCATGCTTCAATCCTACATTTGAATTTTCTGTTTAAGTTCCACCCTGTGTTGCACAATGCCTTGCAAGAGTCTGCGTACTCTAATAATTTTCACATTACAATCATAAACTTAAATGTTTCATTGGAGTTCAGTGTGATAGACCAACATTTCTGTTGCACATAATTGCTATGTATAAAAATAAAGATGCACGGTTTTCAATTTTGCTAGAAATAAAAATCTGGAAAAAGAGTTTCCATAAAGAGTCAGAACTTTGTAAAAGCTACCCTTTTACTGCGGCAGCAGTGCATTCTGGGAATGTCTTTGACGAGTTTTGTCCATTTTCTATATAAATTAGTTTGCCTATTTTGTTAAATAATTACCCTGTGTATAATTTCAGCCGTCTTCCCATCAGCTCCTAGCAACTTCTATGAAGAAAAGCAGCCTCTACAACATAACACTGCTACAGCCATGTTTCATTATGTCATTGTGTGATGCAAAAGCTGCTCAAATTTGAGTGACACATCTTAAATGCAGGCATAATCTCTGCTTCAGGCAAAGTAGTTGGACTGCATCATACTGCCACCACCTTGTTTCACTGTGAGAATGATGTATTTAGAGTAATGTAGCAGTTTTGCATCACGCACACACACATTATTGGTCTATTCCATGAAAACTCAATGAAATGCACTGAATCTTATGGTTGCCAAGTGAAAAAAAAAAATCTGAAAAGAATTAAACGTTTATTTTGTTTAAGAATAAACAGCACAAAGAATATAATTGCACTGAATTATCAAGAACCAAATGCAGACTTGAAATTGAATCTTAAATATAAATGTTATGTTCTTTTATCTCAGGCCCGTATTTATTCTTACTGCAATGAATTATGAAATTGAATTCTGGATTCAAGGTGGGTTCACCTATGTGATAGCTTACACGAATTCACTGCTATGATATTCGGTTCCAAAACTAACCGTAACCCATGTAGCTCTCAGCACTCAAGCGCCTTTAAAAAAAAAAAAAAACAAACCTAAAAAGTAGATCCTCATTCATTAGACCTACATCGATTCTTGTGATAAGCGAATGCAAACGAATTGCGTCTTGCATGTGAAGCCCATCTGATTGTCTCAACAGACAGAAACTTTCTGCAACTGGTATAATCTCAAGTAGGGAGCAAAAAGCCAATCAGGATGTATCTGGGGAGCTCTGCGTTTGGTCATCGCGACCCTCTGGGTTCGGTGGCCAAGTCAACCGTTTTCATGATGAACGACAGGTCACAGTGCTGCAAGTCAGTGGGACATAATGTCGCTTTAAATGCTGCCACACAGTTCTCTCCAGCAGTGGCGGAGCTCTACAGGGAGCGGAGGTAAAGGCCATTCTACTATGATTAGGGGTCAAAGGTGTCTGTGTGTGTGTGTGTGTGTGTGCACACGCGGGGGCGCGTGGGATACTGCGGAGCAAATAAATGCCTTTCCACAGTATCGAGTCCCTCTCTGGGAGACGGTTTCAGTCAAGTTTACACAGCAGCAGTAAAGAAAAGCTTAAATATGCTAAAATTCAGAGGCATTCTTTGAAGATTATGCCAGACGAAAATATATGTAGAACACACCATTCAAATGTATTTACAGCTCTGTACATTAAGAACGACCATTTGATCTAACTCCTGGTCTCAAGTGTTCTGCCTTCTGATATGGCCAGATTAGCTGTCTATTAAATAATACCTAGAAATGGCACAAGAGCACTGATCACAACTTTCAAGAACTCACTTCACAGACTGGGCCTTGCCTAACTACAACAAGAATTAGTCACTGCTAAAGTCGCTATTTCCACTTGTGATTCTTGTCTAACTTTCTGGATCGTATCCGTCGAGAGCTTCGATAAATAAACGAGGGAGTGCATCAATTATCTTGGTGGAATCGTTCCAAGATTTGCTGATGAGCTGATAATTTGAGTCAGAAATGACGAGTGTTCATGCCAGTGATTAAATGAGTTACGACCGATAGTTACTTACAACCCAACTGTAGGCTTTAGAATGTGGACAGTCTTTTTTTTCTCTCTCTCTCTCTCTCTTTCTCTCTCTCTTTTCTTCTGAAGTGGGTGTAGCTTTTCTTTTGTTTTGTGTACCGATCTGTTTCTCACAGGTAAATCTCTCGTTTGGGGGTGTGAGCAGAAGGGGACGTGGGCGGGAACTCGGAGGCCACGCTCAGGGGCATCTCCTCTACGGGACAGTCCTGACCGGCGTCCTGGCCGCTGCTGGAATAGGCACTGCGGGAGGGCGGAAGGCGCGACCGGTGCTCCTCTCCACCCAGCCTGGCGCTGCCGTTGGCCAGGCGACCCAGACTCCCTCTCTCCTGGTAAGGCACGAATGTGGAGAGCTTGGGGGGGTTCCTGGTCTTCCGCACGGGGGAGGGATGCCCCGGCATCCAGCAGGCATCCGAGTGACCCAATTCGCTGCATTCGGTCGTGCAGTTTCCGGTCATCGCCACGTCGGGGAGGGAGCGGATGTCTGTGGGCAGGTGAAAAGAAAACAACACTTTCAGTGAGAGCCTCACTCTGGAATAATACTCGACGTGGAATTAAAGTAGCAAAAAATGGCATTTGTGAACAAAAATGGTGTCATCTTATGCACCCCATGAAACCCCTGTCTCTCCCCACCCCCATCCTTGAGGTCTTTGCAGCTGTTGCTAAGCAGTCGGCAGCAGTTGCTATGTAGCTGTCGCTATGCACTGTGTAATGAGCGCTACTGTGTGTGTAGTCCACAAGCTGGTGTGGTAGATGCAAGAGGCGACATGCTGTGTCTTTGTCATTTAGAAGTATCCCCCAGCAGTCTGTCTGGTATATTTGTAATATATCATCATATCGTTAATATGTTCAACAGCAACTTATTTCTATTATACGTGATCTCCGTCCTGTGAATGGAGCACTCAAAATGTTCCAGCATGGAGGAGGAAAAAAAAAGGAAGGCAGAAGAAATACACACATTACAACAACACACACTGGAAACATGCAGTGTTCAGTTACGGAGGGAATATCTGGATCCTTTAGGGGAACGGAGGCGAAAAAAAAACATTGCTGAATGAGTTATTGATTGACAGCGCTGAAATGAGTTCCCTGCCCTTGATTATCATCCATTTTTTATTCAGCTACTCCTAATTAAATAAATGGGTCCACAACCCAGTGACCTCGTTTTTTTTTTTTTTTTTTTTTTTTTTTTTTTTTTACACACACAAGTCGAGAAAGCGCCAAAATAAGTTTGCATGAGCTATCACTTCGGAGCAGTCTCACACTTTCTGAAGGCAAACTCAGCTCCGGGGAGGCGCTCTGTTTGTCGGCCAGAAACGTGCAGCTGGCCGTCGGTGGGCTTGCCAATCGTGCACCTGTTGACAAGCTGAACATACAGCACGGATTAAATGAAAATACCACTCTGTTTATCGTTTTTTTTTTTTTTTTTTTTTTTTTTTTTTTTTACACACAAAAGTCGAGAAAGCGCCAAAAAAAGTTTGCATGAGCTATCACTTCGGAGCAGTCTCACACTTTCTGAAGGCAAACTCAGCTCCGGGGAGGCGCTCTGTTTGTCGGCCAGAAACGTGCAGCTGGCCGTCGGTGGGCTTGCCAA